TTGACAGGATGGATAACCCACACACATTTTTTTTAAAACCAAGGATTGATTGGGGGTGTTCAATACATACGTAACTAAGTCCTTAATCGATGCGTAGAAACAATAACAGTCGAGAAAGATAAACTTCAGTAACTTTCCATTTTTGGAATTTCTTTTTAAAATTTCATCATAACCCTCGATGTTAAAAAATGATTATAGTTAATTAAGAGTTGGGTTTCATGTTAGTTTTAAGTTGTTGTTTTTTTGTCGCAATATGCATTATTTTATTTCCTTTCAATTCAGAATGTCCTTATAACTACCTCAAAATGTCCTTCCAACTACCTTAAAAGGTCCTTACAACTACCTCAAAATGTCCTTACAATTACCTCAAAATGTCTTTACAGCTACCTCAGAATATCCTTACAATTGCATCAGAATGTCCTTACAACTACCTCAAAATGTCCTTACAACTACCTGAAAATGTCCTTACAACCTCAAAATGTCCTTACAACCTCAAAATGTCCTTACAACAACCTCAAAATGTCCTTACAACTACCTGAAAATGTCCTTCCAACCTCAAAATGTCCTTACAACTACCTAAAAATGTCCTTACAACAACCTCAAAATGTCCTTACAACTACCTGAAAATGTCCTTCCAACCTCAAAATATCCTTACAACTACCTAAAAATGTCCTTACAACCTCAAAATGTCCTTACAACAACCTCAAAATGTCCTTACAACAACCTCAAAATGTCCTTACAACTACCTCAAAATGTCCTTACAACAACCTCAAAATGTCCTTACAACTACCTCAAAATGTCCTTACAACAACCTCAAAATGTCCTTACAACTACCTCAAAATGTCCTTACAACAACCTCAAAATGTCCTTACAACTACCTCAAAATGTCCTTACAACAACCTCAAAATGTCCTTACAACTACCTCAAAATGTCCTTACAGTTCTACTGGAGTTGTTATCTCGAGGCCATCTCCCCCGTTATCCCCACGTTCTCACATCTCACTGCAAGCGATAAAAAAAGATGCATTCCCCTCAAATGGACAGCGTAGCAATAAAACTCATCCTTGCAATATAACTGATCATGACAATAAAACACATTAGACACTAAAACACATCAGGACAATAAGACACCACAATATATATATATATATATATATATGTATATATATATATATATATATATATATATATATATATATATATATATATCATCATAATCATAAAACAAAACACATCATGACAATAAACATCATGACAATAAAACACATCACGCCAATAAAACACATCACCCTAACAAAACACACCATGACAATAAAACACACGATGACATAACCTCAACCTTTCACCCTGTACATTAAACAACCCGACTACTTTTTGTGGTGTTGTGGCCACCATAAAATGTCCATTATCTGGGCCGACTTCCCCCCCCCCCCCCATGTCTCCGGACAATACTGGCCAGTTAAAATAAAAAAGATTCTGTCCCCGAGTCGAGCGTGTAGTGCTGGTGCCTTATTTGAACTAGGATGTAAAGGGGGGGGGGCGACTCACGCCAATAACGGCACGAAAACGGGTGTCTCGTGATATGTCCGTTTGGGTGGGAGGGGGGTGGGACACAGGGCCCTCGCCCGACCCCCCCCCCCCCCCCCCATGTCCCGTTGATTACCGTCTGCTGGGATCATAACTGGCGATTAGACGGGGTCATGTTGTCGGACCGGGGTTGTTCCCCCCCCCCCCCCCTGTACGGGACTCGGTGAAGATGATGTAAACTCTGGTAGCACGAGATGTCGCTGGCAGATGTAAGTCTGTTAGAGACTTGTGCGGGGTAAACGTGGGCGTCCTGGTTGTTTAGTGTGTGTGTGGGGGGGGGGGAGCTTTCATGGGTTAGATACTTTAAAGTTAACCCAACTAAAAATCAGTTATGATAATAAACTTTTAAATGCACTGAAAATAAGAAAACAAAACCAACTTGTTGCCAAAATGTCGAGAAGATCTCATGAGCGACCAATGAAAAATGTAGTAAAAGCATGATTTTACCAATTACCGCTTACTTTCTCATCTCTCGGAAATCGTGAGTACAGCCATCGGTAGTTTCAAGTGACACCCCCCCCCCCCCCTCACCGCTGGGAAAAATGCCTGAAAGAAACTTTATTTACCAGCTGGTCTAAACGGTAACTAAACCAAACAGAGCTTGTAGCGTACCTGACCTAGGTGTCTAACACAGCCTGTGACCAGTTTCTGGATTAACTGACCACAATCACGTGACAAGGTTGTGCAATAACCAGCCCGTTCTGCTTTTGATCCACAACCACGTGCTCAGGCGGCCATGTTTGTTCGGTGTCGTCATCACCACGAGTAAATAACCAGCAAAGTTCGATATCTCACGCCCCCTTCCATGTCGCTAGATTTTGTTTGAAGTCTAAAAATAGAATTCCACTTCATTTCCGGTTTTAGTGTTAATCTTGTTCTAGCATGTTATAAAAATAATTAAAGTATTGACTGAGCAGCAGATGCATAAGACACGTTACGGTCTAGTGGTCACATGGTACAGAATTCGTGTTGAAATCAGCTCACAAAAAAAAAATGTGTGGCGTTCGATCAAATGAATGTGAACCGCCGAGCGACCGAGAGATGAAACTAGGGTCTAGAGATGTGGGTCTTAACTTTTTTACTGGAGATTTAGATCCGCTAAATTTTTAATACAGGTGTACATGTGGTCATATTAAAAAAGAAATGCAGATGTGGTCACCTAACTGCCCAACCACCTAACTGTACAATCACCCACCTGTCCAATCACCCACCTGTCCAATCACCCACCTGTACAATCACCTACCTGTCCAATCACCCACCTGTCCAATCACCCACCTGTACAATCACCCACCTGTACAATCACCCACCTGTACAATCACCCACCTGTCCAATCACCTACCTGTCCAATCACCCGCCTGTCCAAATGTTTTGCCTCAGATTAGGCAAGTGTCGAAACTTACATACACCTTTCCCCCCCCCCCCCCACACACACACTTCTGATGTGTGTGTCTGTGTTTAAGATAGTGTGAGAAGTGACGCAACAAGTGTTCATATACATACTTTCATCAAGGCCCAACCGTACCATAATCATACATAACACCACATACAGATCCAACCTCCAATGTTCATATTCTCTGTAGGAATGTTCTGGAATGTTCTGGTTTCTTAAGCTCCTGCCACAACTCTTCAGACGTCACCTGACAATAAGATCCTGTCAGCTTGAAGTATTTACGTATGGCGGGAGGGGGGGGGGATGGATGACGGGCGACGACTCTTTAATTAAAGACAATTTGTCACAACGTCACAATTTTGGTCTCATAAGTTGACGAACATAAAAACCCGCACAAAAATAGACGCGTAATTTAGGTGAAGTTTAGCGAAACAAATCACCCATCGTCAACCATTCGCGCTATACACGTCTTGAAAGAAAGGATGGGGTGGGGATGATGAAAAACGGTAGAATAGATCATCATTGCCTTGATTGTAACACAGAAATACCACATACAACGTCTAAACACATACAAGAACAACCACATAACTGTTAATACCAACCAGAGCTTGTAAAAATATACTGGGAGTGATCTCCCCCTAAACTTTCTCGAATATTCTTATATAACACTAGGGGGGATGGCAACTCGGTATATAGACATGATTTTTTTAACCATTTTTAATTACTTAAACTTTTTAAAATAGAATAGATTCTCGTAAAAAAAAAGAATTGCGCACTAAGTGAATGGCAAACAATGTGTGTATTATAGTGCGGCATATTATAAGTACTTTATAAATTCATAAGCGTTTTTGATAAATCGGAAATAGCATGAATTACTACTTCCGGTCAATGGAAATTACTCAAAATTTGACAGAAGACGGATAATTAAATTTTTTTACTTACATGTGAAATTTCATTTATCTATCTGAAACACTAAAAGTAAAATAAGTTCCATTTCCGGTTTTCGGAAATCGCTGAAAAGCAGATACGGAACTACAAATTGGATATAATACATATAATTGAAATTTCATCAACCTAGCTGTAACAGTACTCAAGTTATCGTGTTTACATATATACGCAAACATACGTGCATAAACACAGACATACGGACAAACACAAATCTCGATTTTTTTTGCACGATTACAATACTTCCACTATAGGCATACTCTGTATAGGAGAAAGTAAAAAATTAGTTCTTTGGTCCCGACTTGAAGAAAATATCATGCGTGAAATTAATTAATGGTACACAATAAGTTGACCGTGAGTGAACATCCTACCGACCAGACACTCTCTCAGTGAGCAGTAACTAGACTGACCATCTGAAAGGTCACTTCAATAATTTAGGTAGATCCGATAAACAATAGACGTCTATTGTGTCAATGGTGTGTCGTTTAACGAATGCTACCCAAGTGTTAGTGATTACAGAAACACAACTAAGTGTACGTAATTACACAGACACACAACTAAGTGTAAGCAATTACACAGACACACATATTTTAAAGTTCAAATATGTTTATTTAAATTTTCTTCTATTAAAACAACTTGGGTCACATGAAACCCAGGGTACCGTCCTAATTTTTAATGTCCTTGTTTTGTGATGTTGATGTCCGATTTCTGATATTGATGTCCAGATGTTGATGTCCTGTTCTAATGTTGATATACTATGTGGATGTTGTTGTTCTACTCTAATGTTGATGTCCTATTTTGATGTTGCTTTCTGCCTAATATTGATTTTTTATTCTGATGTTGATGTCGTAATGTCAATGTCCTGATGTCAATGATGCAAATATCCTTATGTCAATGTCCTGATGCCCATGTCCTGATGTCATTGTCCTGATGCCCCTGTCCTGATGCCCATGTCCTTATGCCCATGTCCTGATGCCCATGTCCTGATGCCCATGTCCTTATGCCCATGTCCTGATGCCCATGTCCTGATGCCCATGTCCTGATGCCCATGTCCTGATGTCCTCTTGTCTATTCCACAGTCTGCAGCCTGGTTGTCCACAAACGATGCCATGAGTTCGTCTCCTTCATTTGTCCAGGGGCTGACAACGGCCCGGACTCAGATGTGAGTACATCATTGCTTTTGTTGCTCTAATGTTGGACTATATGCTTGCTCTAATGTTGGACTATATGTTGGGTCTAATGTTGTATTGTTGTTGGGCCTAATGTTGTAACTTTGTTTGGTATAATGTTGTAACGTTGTTGCATGGTGCGGATACGTGCATGGGAGCGTGTACAATCTGTCCCTTGTTATGTCTTTGGCATGCAGTGAATTAGTGCATGGCAGTGAGTAAAATCTGGAACGTGCATTAGCTAAGTATGTGACATGCCGCGTAGTAGTATTGACAATACAAGCTGCATCGGATGTGACATTAAATATGACATTCAGAAATGTGGCATTCGATATGACATCAGGAACGACTACTGCAGTCACCACACTCAGCAGCGCTTACCCCCCCCCCCCCCCCTGCCTGGAGTGAGACAAACCACATAACCTTCATGTCGACATCCCCCCCCCCCCCCCGGATAACCTAATTGTCTGCGCCATTACGTCGATATCCACATAAATCCTTATTACTTATGAGGATCTGTGCGCTGTGTTTGACCACATGGTATAAACAATACCACCTCAATACCCCCCCCCCCCCCCACCCTACCCTAAGACACACAGCCCCCTAGGCTAAACAGCGTCCTGTATAGCTCTATACCCTCCCTGACGTCGTAATCAGATGATTTATTTTTATCTTCTCATCAGCGTGGCTCTAAGTTTAGCTGACTCTGGGCCCCTCGGTGTGTCTCGTTTTTTGTTTTTAAAAACAAAATTTCCAACCCCCTCACATGAACAAAATGTTAACCTAAAATCTCCAACCCCCTCGCATGAACAAAATGTTGGCCTAAAATCTCCAACCCCCTCACATGAGCAAAAGGTTGGCCTAAAATCTCCAACCCCCTCTCAGATCCTTAGTACAGGGTTGGCATAGAAATATCAAACTCACACCCCACAAAATGTTGGCATAGAAATCACAACCACCTCCCATAACGAACACAAGGTTGACATAGAAATTTTACCCCCCCCCCTAATCATAAAGGGTTGGCTATGAATTATCTAACACCCCTACCCCCTCACTCCCACCCCCACCCCCACCCTACCCCCACACACACAAATATTGACCTGCATACCTCACAATGCCATCTCCCAGAGCGGAATCTAACTTTTGCTTCCCAATTTTTTTTTAAACTCCCGCTCGTGAAAACTTCCTTTGGCTGTCTTTCGCCTGATTAGGACAATATTTACCGATTGATTTCCTTTCACAGCCGGTGTTTGTACTAGGATGCAATCGCTGGTGTTTGAACACACTAACACGACTAACCCTGGCGGCCTATACACGTTGACTCTACTGCCCCATCGATTCGTTGATTTTTGTTGGTTTTTTTTTTTACTTTTTTTTAAAAATCTGTACATTCTTAATGTTATTAACTACATAATTAGTCAAATGTTGAGGCGTTTGATTATTCACATGCTGTGATTGATGGATCATCTCTTCTGCTCTTTTACGAGATTAGTGTCACTAAATCGGATTAGCGGTGAGATAATCCTCTATGCGGGAGTAGCCTTACTACAGCATGTAGTTAAAGCGTGACACAGGAAACAATGGTGCTTTAAGGATTTGTTCCTTTGTAAACTTTAAAACCTATCACCTCATTAATCCATTGGATGCAAGTATCCACCAAGCATTCAATTATCAATCCATTGGATACCACTATCCACCGTGCCTCCAACAAAACAATCACCTCATCAACCCAATGGATACAAGTATCCACCGTGCCTCCACCAAAACAACCACCCCATCAATCCATTAGACTGCAGCGAGCCCCACAAATTGACACTGAGTGCCCAAATATTTGTTTGGTTGTGAAGATTACAACTAACATGGCCGACTCCTGGGAGCTCTTCTGGGCGCGGAGATATGCAAGCTCTGTTTTAGGAGCTTGTGTTGGAAGTTGTCTATTGAGCTTAGATGTGTGGGAGCTCAGTTTTTCAACAGGCTGAAAACAGAATTCTTCGGTTGGAATAATCAGTCATACTTTAAAAAAAACAAATCTTTAGGACGTTACACTATCAAACTGTTGAAAACTGACCTTGAAGTAGACACAGACATATTGAAAACAAACATTGATGTAGCCACACAAGTTGAAAACAAACCTTGAATTAGCCAAATATGTTGAAAACAGACCTTGAAGTAGCCACACCCATGTTGAAAACAGACCTTGAAGTAGCCACACCCATGTTGAAAACAGACCTTGAAGTAGACACACATGTTGAAAACAGACCTTGAAGTAGACACACATGTTGAAAACAAACCTTGAATTAGCGACACACATGTTGAAAACAGACCTTGAAGTAGACACACATGTTGAAAACAAACCTTGAATTAGCGACACACATGTTGAAAACAGACATTGAAGTAGCCACCCCATCACCAGCAGGTTTAACGTCCTCCTAACCAAAAAAAAAAATCTCTAATCGATCATCCATCACTTAAACCGCAAGTAAAAAAAAATCCTTTCACCCAACCGCGGCCATCTTTGTTTCAATCATATTTTTCTCGCATTTTTTCATCTCCGCCTTCATTTTTCACCATCCTAATATTTAATTTTTTTACTTTTGATTGAAGTATAGATTTTTCTTTAATCAGTAATTAACACAAGACAAAAGTGGGCGTCCGCCTCCGTGCCTTGTTTGTTGGGAGCTGCAGCGTTTAGTTGTGGAGAATCTGTTCGGGGAGGTCTGTCAATGCAGAGGTGTGTGTGTGTGTGTGTGGGAGAGGGGGGGGGGGGTCGATAGATAGATGAGTCAGACTAGAGTGTGGACAGATAAGAAGACAAAAATGCTGACATAAATCCATATATATACACAGATACGCACATACATACTCATAGACGTAAATACAAAAAAATACTGACTGGCGGGTCGGAGCACCATCCACAGACACACGCAGAAATACACACAAACACATCAGACAGATACACACGTCACTAGACAGACACACAGATACACACATCTGACAGATACACTGATACTCTCGTGATTTGAAAGAATCATAGATACACGCGTCATTAGATATACAGACATATACAGACTTCTTTGGCAAATACACAAACCCACCACCAAAAAGACATCGACAAACCACTACAAACATAACCGAAAAAACAGACTTACAAACGGCTAAATTACTAGTATAGCCACTCCTCAGACGGACAAAATTCTTGTTAAAATGGCTAACGTTACACAATCACAAAAAAAGTTTTTTTTTTTCGCCTGGGGTGATTTACCCAACATGACATTTCGAGATATTTTTGTTTCGTATCTCTCAACGCGCAGACGTCTACAGTTTTCTGAAAAAATCATCAAAAAATTGATGATTGCTCGGCAAAATATTGATGATTGCTCATCAAAATATTGAGGATTGCATCAATCATTTATAACCCAATGAGGGTATAAACATCGCCCCAAAACATGATTTCCGTAGCCGTTGTTATCTCACTAGCAGTCGTCTGCTTGAGAGCGAGTCATCTGTTTGGGAGAGTCGTCTGTTTGGGAGAGTCGTCTGTTTGGGAGAGTCGTCTGTTTGGGAGAGTTGTCTGTTTGGGGGAGTCGTCTGTTTGGGAGAGTCGTCTGTTTGGGAGAGTCGTCTGTTTGGGAGAGTCGTCTGTTTGGGAGAGTCGTCTGTTTGGGAGAGTCGTCTGTTATGGGGAGTCGTCTGTTTGGGAGAGTCGTCTGTTATGGGGAGTCGTCTGTTTGGGAGAGTCGTCTGTTTGGGAGAGTCGTCTGTTTGGGAGAGTCGTCTGTTTGGGAGAGTCGTCTGTTATGGGGAGTCGTCTGTTTGGGAGAGTCGTCTGTTATGGGGAGTCGTCTGTTTGGGAGAGTCGTCTGTTATGGGGAGTCGTCTGTTTGGGAGAGTCGTCTGTTTGGGAGAGTCGTCTGTTATGGGGAGTCGTCTGTTTGGGAGAGTCGTCTGTTATGGGGAGTCGTCTGTTTGGGAGAGTCGTCTGTTTGGGGGAGTCGTCTGTTTGGGAGAGTCGTCTGTTATGGGGAGTCGTCTGTTTGGGGGAGTCGTCTGTTATGGGGAGTCGTCTGTTTGGGAGAGTCGTCTGTTTGGGGGAGTCGTCTGTTTGGGAGAGTCGTCTGTTATGGGGAGTCGTCTGTTTGGGAGAGTCGTCTGTTTGGGAGAGTCGTCTGTTATGGGGAGTCGTCTGTTTGGGAGAGTCGTCTGTTATGGGGAGTCGTCTGTTTGGGAGAGTCGTCTGTTATGGGGAGTCGTCTGTTTGGGAGAGTCGTCTGTTATGGGGAGTCGTCTGTTTGGGAGAGTCGTCTGTTTGGGAGAGTCGTCTGTTTAGGAGAGTCGTCTGTTTGGGAGAGTCGTCTGTTTGGGAGAGTCGTCTGTTATGGGGAGTCGTCTGTTTGGGAGAGTCGTCTGTTTGGGAGAGTCGTCTGTTTGGGAGAGTCGTCTGTTTGGGAGAGTCGTCTGTTATGGGGAGTCGTCTGTTTGGGAGAGTCGTCTTTTTGGGAGAGTCGTCTGTTTGGGAGAGTCGTCTGTTTGGGAGAGTCGTCTGTTTGGGAGAGTCGTCTGTTTGGGAGAGTCGTCTGCTATGGGGAGTCGTCTGTTTGGGGGAGTCGTCTGTTTGGGGGAGTCGTCTGTTTGGGAGAGTCGTCTGTTTGGGAGAGTCGTCTGTTTGGGAGAGTCGTCTGTTATGGGGAGTCGTCTGTTTGGGAGAGTCGTCTGTTTGGGAGAGTCGTCTGTTTGGGAGAGTCGTCTGTTTGGGGGAGTCGTCTGTTTGGGGGAGTCGTCTGTTTGGGAGAGTCGTCTGTTTGGGAGAGTCGTCTGTTTGGGAGAGTCGTCTGTTTGGGAGAGTCGTCTGTTATGGGGAGTCGTCTGTTTGGGGGAGTCGTCTGCTTGAGTGAGTCGTCTGTTATGGGGAGTCGTCTGCTTGGGGGAGTCGTCTGTTTGGGGGAGTCGTCTGCTTGAGTGAGTCGTCTGTTATGGGGAGTCGTCTGTTTGGGGG